TAACATTTCTTTTGGTACTGATCGTGTATAAGTTGGATGACTTATAGTTGTATGAGATTGATAAGTTTGCTGTAGAGGGTTCATGAGAATTTCATTATTAGCTGTTGGAACTATTAATCAATACATTTAATTTACTTTAATAACCAAAATACTGAAAATGATTAAAAAACTTACCATTTCTAGGAGTTGCTTGCCAGTGAATTGGAGGCTGTGGCAACTGAGCTGGATTTACAATATTAGGAAACACTGTAGGTACAGGTTTTGAGTACTGCATTTCTTGAGGATAGTTAAAATACCTAAAATCATACCAATTTTAAAAATCATATAATTTAATTTAATTAATGTGCATACTGTTGTGATGGTAACGAGTATCCACTAACTACATTTTGTTGAGTAAAAGTAGGTTGTGATACAAAAGGTAGATGATATGACTGTCTTGGTACTTGATAATTTGGTGCATATTGAGCTAAAAACTGTTGAGGCTGGAATTGTTGATATGCGATTTGAGGTCCCTTAAAATATTGAACTGATTGTTGAGGAATAGGTTGTTGGTAAGACTGATGTGGATATGATGATATCCAGTTCATGTATGCATTAGATGGTGCTTGCTGTTGTGGAATTTGTTTTGCTATTTCTTGTTGGGTAACCAGTCTAGGATTTATTTTCTGAGAAAAATTATTAGATATCACTTGTTCAGCTTTATTTTGGTTAGATTCAATCTTTTTTATAATAATCAAGGCACGAGCAGCTACATCTTCAGTGGCCTAAAAAAAATTATTTTTTTGAGTAATTAGAAATTGAGTTAAACTTTTAATATACCTCTGTATGGGTTGGTTTTACTTCTCCTGGTAAAGTTATGCCATTTGGTAATAATACAGATGCACTATACAATTTCATATTCTTATCTACTTTATTTGTAAAACTATACCTGGGTGTTCCATAACCTTTAGAAATATAAAAGCTCTCTAGAGCAGCAGTCATAGATGTTGATGGTTCCTTTAAATTAATATTTAATGCTATTTATAATTTTTTCAAACTTTAATTTTTAAATGAAAATTATAACTAACTGCTGGGAAGTAAGGTATACTGTTATCATTATTCCTGCTAAAATTATTCTCAGTCATTTGCTCTTTACTATTATAACTTGAACCACTTGGTGCACTGGAGAAACTCTTGATTGACTCCAACTAAAAATTAATAAAAAATTTAATAACTATATGTATCATAAATTTCAACTTAAAAAAAAAATACAATTGAGACCAAGTACAATGAGAGCCAAACATAGAGAAAACTTTTATAGATTGAAGTTAAACAATAATTAAAATTACTATCATAAACAGGTAAACATCATGATATTTGGATTTTAAGAACAAGATGTTTTTTTAGAAAAAGTTTAGGGTTTTTTTTATTTTTGAGGATAATTTCTTTACTAGATGTGATTTAGGTTATTCTGTCTCATAGTTGAGCAAATTAAGTGCAGTAAGAGCCAAGAACAAAAAGTGACAGGCACAAAAAAACACATATACATAAAATCAACAGCTTTAGTTAACACATAAGCTTAGCTTGTTTATCGGCTAAATGAATTCTGAGTATTTGCAATGTGTAAGTAGATTAGTTAATGTAAAATAATAATTTTTAATTTAATAAAATATTTGTCATAATTACACGAAAATGTTTTTTAACTTACTTTTGAATTGGTTTTTATAATAGAGTTATCTTCCGATTGAATTTTTAACATTTTTTTAAGAGCCAATGTTGTGAACTCCTAAAATAAATTAAATGATAGTCAAAAAATTGTATAAAATACTAAGAAATATTTTGAACACTCACGCATGCATCAGCATTCAATAAAGAAGAATTATTAGATTTATTATTGTTATAATTTTGACTGCTCTGGGTTTTCTTTAATTCTTCCTAATCATTATATAGTTTTAAAATAATTGTAAAAAACAGTAGAAAAAACTATAGCATTAATACTATTAAATCAATTTNTACAGTAGAAAAAACTAAAGCATTAATACTATTAAATCAATTTTTAAAACATAATATTTTCTACTAAACAGAAATCATATTTATATTATGTTTCCTCAGTGTTATATTTTAAAATAATGTAAGTATTTATAGATTATACAATGTTTGTACATGACACTTATTGATGTGGTTAGCTATATCTTCAACTATACACTATAGCACATATATGCCTCAATGGGTATGTATCGGTTACTTTTTACAAGTTCATGGTGGCCTAGTGATAAGGCATTGGGTTGCTATGACTTGGGTTGCAATCCCACACTGTGATTTTATTTATCTCAGGTTTTCCGATACATTCCCAAAACCATCTACTAGTTCTTGGCAGGCGTGTTATAATAATACAAATTTTATTTTAACTGTTTAATTGAAAGATAAAATTTTTAGTAAATTATAAATGATTATAATTAACTTACAACAGGTTGTCCTTGTTTTTGGGAAATATTACTGTTCATTACTGAATTTGACTCGTTCTGCTGAATAAATAAATATATACTATAGTTTAAACTACTTTAACACTAAAATCATTTATATTAAAATAAAAACTACTAATTATGATAATAACTTATATACGCCTTTTATACATGAAAAATTGTAATCAATACTATAGTATATGACACAAAATTAAACAAACTAAAATCAGTGAGGGACATATATTAAATAATAAGTAAAATGTTTTATGTGTTTTAAATAATTTTAATAAGACAAAAAATATAACCTGCGTAGAAGGTTGTCAAATATTTAAAAAAATTAACTCAAAATCAACTATTTAGTACTTACTAAGTAGTTATTGATTTCAAGAATTCAAATAACTGACAAATTTCATAAAGAAAATTTAACACATTTAAAAATAAGCAAACTAATAACATAATAAAACATAATAAGTATCTTAATTTACTTAATATTTAAATATTAAGTAAATTTAAACTACAATTTTTAAAATTAAAACTGTAATATATTCTTGTTACTTTAAATCATTACCTATCAACACTTACTAATTGTTGTCGTCGCCAAGTTTCTTTTGAAGCTAATGTAAATTTAGATTCAGTATTCTTTGATATTTTATCTAAGTTCTTAGAATTTGACTATAATCAGAAAAAATGTTCAAATTATTATAAATATTTTTATATTAATTTGTATATAGAGTTATATAATAGTTATAAATAAACATTTATAAGTTATAACAAAAAAAAGTGTATCATTTTTAAACAAATAACAGGACCTATTTTTTGGCAAATTTGAAATACACTTTTTTTTTATTAAGTAATGTATTTGACAATTAATGTTGTATCACACTTGTCATAAAACACAAAAATAGGCACTGACAAATATTGAAAGATAGTTTTATTGTCAGCAATACGTAATAAATATTTAATAAGAAATATTTCTGATTAAAATCAGAATGCATTTTTCTCATAAATTAATCTTCCTTTATTTACACATCTACCAAAATCTCTATCTTTGATATGGGTCACCATATACAATTAAGCAGTGTAGAAAATGTATATTTATTCAAATTATATGCTAACCTTAGTTTTTAAACAAAATTATAATGCTTATTTAAAAAAATTTACAAAAAAAATCACGAATCATTTAAATGAAAATTCTTAAAATCTTAATAGCAGATTTTGTGAATCAGTATATACAATATTAACTATGTTTCAGGTAGTGTACTTAACTACACCATGTATGTACTTATGTACTAGACTCATTAAATACATATTGCTATAACATATAAGCGTACTGAATTGGAAAATAAAACTTTCACAAACCTGTAAATGTTCCCAAATGCTCATTTGAGTGTTCTGTAAGCATTAGATAAATTGATTTAAATATTCATAGTAATGGCAAAGGATGATATGCTTTACCTGTTTTTCAGTATTTGATCTTTGACTAATTGGTACTTTAACAACTAATGGTTTATAAAGCCCACTACGTATAGCATGTGATAAGTTAATAAATGACATTCTACAAAGTTTATAACCTCTATTAGGACTACCTCCTAAAGAAACCCCATTAGCAAATTCTTTATCAAATATTACACAGTAAACAGTTTCAGTATCAACGTTTGATTTATTAATACCTATTGATTTATCAATAAAACATATTATTAATTTAATGTTTTAGAAATTTTACCAAACAATTAACACTTACTGATAACTGTGCCTTTATAACCAAGTGGGACTTGATAAGATGATCGTATACATACTACACGATCTAACACACGTGTATCAGCATCTTCATCAGCTTTTAATTTATCCAATTTAGTTACTGGCTACAAATATAAAATAAATGATTTATAAATACAAATAATTACACAAAAAAAATATAGAAATAAAGGATAAACATAAATTTTAATAACCCAACTATTCATCTAAAACAATGTATTATTAGATATATATATTTTAATTTCAATATTACAAAATAAATACTTTTGAAACATTAATTAAATAACTTACTTTAAGAAGATTTTGTGATTTTACATTAAGACTGATAATTTTTTTGTGCTTAGAGTTTATTTCAATAAAATCGTCCATATACTTTTCAAGAACTGCAACTTTGCATGGTTCCATTGAACCAAATGTTTGTTTTTGTTTAGTCAATGAACGCATTTCAGAAATCCATGATTTCAATTTTTCTAATTTTTCTTTTCTATTATATTATTTATTTTGTTTTTAATAAAATATAGAAGTATTTTTAAAATATAAAATATTTTTTAACTTCGNTATAGAAGTATTTTTAAAACATAAAATATTTTTTAACTTCGATGCAAATCTGAAAGGTATAAATTTTACTAGGTTTTTTTTTTTTATGTCTGTTGCTATTTTTTATCAGCTATCACGGGACCGATATCTTTCAACAACTTGTCAAAATATCAAAAATTATATCTAATTGAAGACATTGCCTTTAAAAATTGATAAAATTTTCCTCATTCCCTGTAAATGAAGGAAATTCCCCAAAAAAATACAATTTTTAAAATCTAAATCTAAAATTGATTAAATATTTATTCATATATTACAATTATATATCGCATAATTGTAATCAGGATATAAATAAGAAAATAGGAGTTCATTTTGCTTTTGGAATAATTCATCAATTTCTTAAAATTTATAACTATCTACAGATTTGCATTGAAGCGATTCTTTTGATAGTGATTTTAATCACTATCAGATATCATTATTTACCTTGTTTGTTTATCTGGAAACATTTCCTCTATTCTAAATGTGTCATTAGTACTCTCAGTGTTTACTAAATTTTGAAGTTCTGGAAAACGTTCTAAATATTCACGTAACAAATCAATAGTTTTTTGAGAATACAGCCAATATTTTTCAACTTTTTTTGTGTACCCAATAACCTAAAGACAATTTTACATTAAATTAATTTTCAATAAATCAACACAATTTTATCAAAAAATACTTCTTCATTTCGCTTATTAAATTTTAGACTCATTCCAATGTTTATTTTTTTTTCATGTCTATCTTCTTCACTATCAACCATTAAAAAAATTGTTCCAGTGAGTTTGGCTAGTAAATACGGACTTAAAGCAAGTTGAGCTGCAGCAGCATTTGCTAAATAATAATAAACAAATTGTTCAAAAATTTTATGCTTCAGTATTAGATTAAATAATATCACCCAACTCTTAATTTTTTTTAAAACTACCTTTTTATTACATAAAAATTTAAAAGTATTATATATATGTTAATTAAATATAAAAAAAGTTAAATTTTCATTATTTTCATCATTTTACAATATTTATTGTTAATTTTAGTTTGTTGTAGTAAAAACTGAACATAAAAAAAATACATAAATATATTTGTGGTTAAAAATGTATTAAATAAATTATAAATACAACATGAATAAAGTAGTTATCAAATATTCATTTTTTTTTATGATATATTTTATTTATTTAATATTAATATTTATACCATTAAACATTTCAATAGAAACAGAATTTAGAGTATCACGGAGATCATAGAAGTATGGTTCAGGTGTGAGTGTTATATCAATTTTAATTCTAGAAGATATATAACCACCAATCACTTCTGCTTGACAACCGTAAAATGGAGCATCCAGTACAAAAACATTTCCTCCAACAGGGAAGTACTCTTCAAGAGCAAAATAACTTTGTTTAATATGTGGGTCATTAACTTCTAAATCAAGGACAGCTGTTTGAAATGCTACAGTTGAAGGAATTTCACACCACTTTTTTTCAATATTTATGAAACACAATTATAAATAATTAGTAATAATTAAAAATCATGGAATAATACACAAAATACATACAGCTTTCACTAAATCTACACCACTGCCATCTTGTCTTGGTATATATTTAGTTCCCTTTAATTTTTGACCTCGCAACAGTATAGAAGTTTTTCCAATATCAATACCACGAGTAGACATATAGCTTTAAACATAATTAATTATTTTAATTATTTAATATACAGAGTGATAAATTTATAAGTAAAACCCAATAGTTTGCATTAAAAAAGTAATAATGCATACAAGATAAAAGAAAAAAATTAAAATGCTTTCTTAAAAAAGTTAAAAATACACTTTTCAATTTTTTACAATAAATCATCAACATAATTTTTTAGAATTCTTGAGGAACTAATTATAAGAGAACTCTAACCCCCTAAATAACTCTAATATATATGAGTTGTTTTTGCAGTACTGCATTTGATGCCAATCATATTTTTTTTAAATTATTATTTATTTAAAATAAGATGTTCCATTTATAATTTAGTTATGTTGTATTTCTTACGTTTTTGCAAACCCTTGAGAAAGTAATTTGAATTCCTGTACTGCTGAATCATCCATATCTCGAACAATGACATGCTCATTATCGTCAAGAGACAAAAGTAAAGATTTGCTAGATATAGCAGTAACTCTAAAAAATCCAAATTTTACAAAAATTAATTGATCTATTTATTAAATATAGAAAAATATACTTTATTTCTTCAAGATGAGGCCAATTAGCATACACAGTTTTGCCAAGTAACTCTTTAGCAATACTTTGTATATTGCCTTCAATATTTTCATCTTGATTAATTATTTTAATTATCATGTTTTCACCCAAACTTGAAGATTGAAAAACTTTTACACCTTTCTTGAGTAATTCAGCCTAAATTACAATTTAAAAATATTATAATTTATTTATAATACATAATTATTTTTAAATTTAAGGAGGATAAACCTTCTTAACTTCCATAGATTAACTCTTAGTTAAAATAAATGATTTAACTTTAAGTATACCAAATATGTAAAACTAAAATTATATATAAATACATTTTTTTTTTTATAAAAAAAGATTATCATATTGTTTACAACTGTTAAATTGTTGTTTAGATTATAAGATACTTTAATTCAAAAATTACTTTTCTTATAATTACCATCATAAAAATATCCAAAATTTGATTTGAATCAGAGGGAAATATTTCAAAAATTAATAAATATAAACAGTTCAATGAGAATAAATATTATTATTGTTCTCCTGAAAGTTGGAATAAGTAAGGCAGTGCTTACTTATTGAACAATAGTTGAATAAAAATATCCTATTTAATCATACTAAAGGCATTTCTACAAGTAGGTATAGACTCTTAGGCACGCCCTGCAAAAACACCTAAATACCATACCATAATAAAATAAATATGAAAAATAAAAACTTACTGTAATTGGTATGAGATGAAGAGTAGGAAACCCAACATGATAAACATCCAAGTTTACATTTGGACACAAACCTTTAACTAAATCATTAGGATCAACGGCAATATCTTCACGATTAATCAATATTCTATGTGCATGACTTTCTTGAATAGGTGGAAAATACTTTGAGTTTGACACTATACCTATAAAATTAAAATATAGCTCAGATGTAAAATTTTATTTTATTTATCTGTAAAAATAATTACCCATATTTTCTTTGGTATACTTAAAAAGATACATAGGACCATGTGAATTTCTTTTTTTTTCATCATCTGAAAGTTTGTGTTCGACCATTTTCATAGACTTTAATAGAGTTTCCTAAAAAGCAATTTGTTAATACATAATCTAGATAAAACATTATATCAATATATATATATATGTATACACACACACACACATATATATATATTTTATTTTTTTACTTCATCAATAAAAGGAACTAATACGACAGCTTCCCATTCGTGTTGTTTTCCATTGAGATCAGTTTCAAATTGTTCAGGATAGTACATTCTAATTGGACTAGCTTCTTCTATCATCAAATCTTGAAAAGGTTTTGGTAATAACTCTTTACTAAGTGATGGTAATACTGCCAACAACTGCTGAAAAGGTAAGAATGGTTGGCCTAAATCAAATTCAAGCTGGATATTTTCAAAGTCCTTGATATCAGAAATATATGGTGCATAATGATGAGGATAATACCAAGACCAAGAACAACAACCATTATAATAATAGTTTAAATTCCATTGTATTGCTCGAATGTATCCTTCTGCTTGAGAACGCATTACATCTCTAAAATGATTATAAAATTAGTAACTAATAATTACTTCAAATAAGTAAAAGTATTAAGTTATTAAAAAATAAATACTCACTCAGTAATAACATTGTATTCTAATTTATTTCTATAGTAATTTTCTTTATGTAATGTGAACTCTGCCATCATTGCTNTAATTTTCTTTATGTAATGTGAACTCTGCCATCATTGCTTCTTCTTCAGTTTCACTCGACTCTTCATTTCCATCCTCATCATCATCACTAAGAAGCTAAAATATTTTATTTAATAAGAAAATAATTATGATGATGAGTTATTACAAAAAACTAACTCACAAATTTTTCAGTATCTTTGATTAAAGTAGCTAGTTCATCTTTATATGCTGGATC